AGAGGTGGAGTTAAACTGGGCAGTTTCAATACTTTGCACCTTAACAAACATTTGAAGTCGAAACATGTAAACAAACACGAAAGCTTTGAGACTGCAAAGAGAAACCAGGAAGTACAGCAGCAACAAATCCTGGTGAGTTCACTTCGTGGGAAATAGCCTTGGGACGAGAAGAGTGAAGCAGCAAGACAGATGTGCAAAAACATCATTTTCAAACAAATCATATCAGCATCAGCCAATGCTGCACAGCCAGGTATCGGGTATCAGTATCAGGGCCAAAAAATGGCATCTGCGCAACACTGCATGAAATGTCACCAACAAGTGTGACATTTGTGTCACAGCATAGTGCCTGGAGGCGCCCAGCCTGCATAAAAAGATTTATTTGATCACGGTATTAACCTAGCTGCAGTTTAACCGCCCGGCTAAAAATAAATAAATAAATAAATGAAAAGAAAAGGCTTGCAGTTGCAGGAGATTCAGCATCATATCTGCTAGGAAGTTTGTTGGTCGTGGCTGTGGGCGTGAACACAGGGAGGATCCATCACACTACCCTTCTCACTCACCCTATAATGGCGATAAAGTCTGGAGGAGAACTGACAGTTTCTTCCTGTGAACCCCCTTTTATAACAATTTATTTTGTAATTTGCATCGTTAGTAGTTATACGGTGGCCACAGATCCCTATTTAACCCGCAAACATGTCCAAATTTCCACTGCAGTACACACGCAACAAGAAGGTCATGATTTTTTTTTTTTAATGTACCAACAGTCTTATTTGCGCCCATATTTATCTATCTGAGCGACCGTCTTATCATTGCACGATTTCCCGCACCTCCTCCAGCAGAAATGGGTCAGAGCATACTCTTGCACGTGTTTAATAGGTGTTCCCTCCTAGGAGCGGGTACAGGATTGTGGATGTGCATTTTGTTTTTAAAGTGGAGAGGGCAGGTCTTTTCAGAAATTCACGAAAATCCTCCACAATACCTATAATGATCAATGAAATCTTCCGTAGAGGCTATGTTATGTAAGAGAGGCACTGCCTTCCCTCAAAGACTTTACTTTTTGAAGTCTCACAGAGAGAATGAAGCTCCCAATTAAAGAGACTTTCATCTTTGGTTTACGGATTTTTAAAATCTTTTTTTCCGTTTCTTGTACTGTATCAAATATCGCATGTTACCAAATATCTTCCATGCAAAGAAAGCCTGTATGCATTGCACTTAATAGCAAACGTTTCTTGCAATATAAAAGATATGCATATTGCATCCAGTATATTGCATCCCTATAAATATATGCATGTCTGGCTTTTTGCTGTTTTACCTGGAGAACTGATGCAGCGGACATGTATGGGGTCATCCAGTTTGGCAACAGCGTCCAATATGATGCCCTCAGCTTCAACGACTGCACACTGAAGGAGACAGAACTGCTCGTTCTGCAGCTTCTGGGCCAGATCACCCTCCCGACACGCCTGGGTCAACAAACACAGTCCTGTCAGTAACCAGCAAAGCTAGTTTCAGAGTGAGATGTACGGTGCGGCACCTGCTGCTGCAGCTGAGCGTGTAAGTTTCCCAGCTCCATGTTGCTCCTCTGCCTCTCCTGCTCCAGGATGCTCTGGTGGAGCTGGGCTTGCTGTCTCAGAGATTTCAGCTCTGCATCCTGGTCCCGAACGGATCGCAGCAACGCATCCTTCTCTGCCTGCAGGCCGGCCAATGTGCTGTTCAGCTGTGTGCCGCTCTGCAGAGGAACAAAACATAGAGTTCTAAGTTAGAGTCAGGACTTCATCCACAGGAAGGACTCAGCATTGGAATCATAAAAGCACCCAGAAATGATCTCACCATCTCTTTGCTTTGCAGCAGAGTGTTAGCGCGAGCCAGATCTGCTCGGGTGGAGTCCAGCTCTCGCTTCAGTCTGTCGATCTCCAGCTTCTGCTCTGCGTTTATAGCAAGCTGAAGGAAAACATGAAATCTGGTTCTTAAATGTTCAGGTTGTTGTTTATTATCTCCTCCTAAACTTACTGTGTCACATCAGATCCCTCACTCATGTTTCACAGATCTAAATGTTTACACTGATTTCAAGGAAGGAAGGAAGGAGTGTCTGTACCTGCTGCTGCAGCTGGGCCCTCAGAGCCTCCAGTTCTCGGCTCATCCTGTCTTTCTCCAGGTCCATGGAGCTCTGCTGCTGCTGGGCCTGCTGTCTCAGACTGGACAGCTCTGCGTCCTTCTCCTTGGCGGAGCGAAGCAGCGCATCGCGCTCCGCCTGAAGGGCTGCCAGGCTGCTGCTGACCTGAGTCCCCTCCTGAGGAAAATTCGCAGACAGAAACAATAATTCTCCGTTGATGCTTTTCCAAACAGACGGCAAAAGTTTCTGGGTATACTGGGTTAGTTTCATCTTTCAATGTTTTACAGGACTTAGTGCAATAAGTGTTCAGTGTTTTATAAGATATGCTTAATGAGGGACATCAAACTACAATCCTTAAGCTTAATGGTTCAAAGGTGAAGGTAAATAAAAAATCATTTAAAAAAATGAAATTTGAAACGTCTATATTTGTTATAAAAAGTATTTTATGATGTGTCACAGTCTTGGTTGTGTTAAGTTTGAGTATTCAGTTTCACGTTGATCCATGTTTTGTAGCTTTATTGGTGTTTTCCAGATATATTTTAGTTCAACTTCTTAGGTCCTTCTGGAAGCCTCTGTTCACACCTGCTCCCAATCAGCTCATTAGTCCTGTCTTTGTTCAGTCTCCCATTTCTACTCTTCCTGTGCAGTCCCTCAGTGCTACTTCCTCGTCTTTTCCTGGCCATTGATGCTTGTTTTTCCCTGATGTCTCCAAGACACTGTTTTTTTGTACTTATTCTGTTGGATTTTTGGATTCATGCCTCAGTTGACTGTGAATACTCCATTAAAACTACAAAAACTCCCCTCTGCCTCCCTGCCTCTGCATTCAGGTCCTCAAAACCTCAACCAAACCCTGACATGTTGTTGTTTCTTTACTGAATTTCTTAAACTTTTATTGTTTTAACCAACATTTCTTACCCTTACACCGAAGCGCCTGAACAGGTCTGGTCCCTCTTTGCTTGGCTTCTATGTGGAGTTTTTAAGGAAAAGCACCATGAAATCTACTGGTGACTGGTTGGTTTTCAGCTTGTGGTCCAAACTGGTAACCAGCTGGTTACAAAAAGAACTAAAATGTTTAGGACTTAAGGAAGCGGACATTAATTTTCCAGTATGAAGGAGTTATTGAAGTCTGAGGAACCGCATAAGTAAGTAGCAGCTGTTAAAAAGCTATTTCTCTAATTGTATTCTTGCTTCTTGTAGATTTTTCTTTGAGATGAAAGCCAGATTTTCAACAATAGCTGAAGATGGTTCTATTTAATCCCCCTGAGCTTTTGATGATCCGTCTGATATTGAACATGATAGGTTGATGTTTAAAGCTGCTCCATTCTCCCTCCAGATCTGCTAGGAATGGGTTCTTGATTGCTATCATTTTACCGACTGTCTAAAACGGAACTAAAACAGGGGGACCACAGAGGTACTGCAGCGGTTGCAAAGGTTTTGGTTGATTACTTTTTTTTTTATATTCCCCCCTGCAATTTTTTCCACTAATTGAAATGTCTTTAAATCCACATTAACATGAATTCAACACACTGTAGTAAACAGATAAATGGAGACAGAAGATGTCTTTCAGTCATCAATGCACACATTCAGCGACACACAGGAGCTCTTTCAAGCTGGAAACCGTTTCATTCACAACACCTGTCCCATCAACCAGGAATCAGAAATATTTTAATAATCCCAGGGAGGGATTACTTTGGTTACATGACTCCATCTGTAATAGAGTAACTATGGGACCAGTTTGATAGAACAAAATTACAAAAAATATATACCGTATAATTAGGGAGTCGCCATCAGTTTGGGGGTCCTTGGCCTGAAAAACAGACCCCTGGTCCAAAATATATGGAGATGTTGACTCTGTGTCAGATGTCAGCAGTTCCCAGCCACTGATTCTCTCATTCTGCTTCATTCTATCTTTATTCTCTCATTCTGCAGAATCTGTTAGTTCAATCTCTAAGGCTATGCTCTCCACTTTTTCTCATAGTAGCTTCATCTGGTCTGTTCCTGTTTGGCTGTGACTCCATCCTGGGGAGAAATATCAGCTGTGCTGCTGCCATCAACACTTTTATTTATATGGGTAAATAGGTAAAAATGGTTGTTTTTCTTTAATTGTAATTTTTCACTTACATTATTTATGTTTTAATTTTCCTATTTTTGTTATTATTTTTATCTATATTTGAAATTTGTATTGCTTTCAGTTTATTTTTTCAGATTGAGTTTTATGATTTGCATAGTTTTCAAAAGATAAAGTGTGAAATATGTTTTTTTCCCCCTCTCTTCCCCAATGTGGCTCCTATCTTCCACAGAGATAAAGGCAGCACTATAGGTAACCGCCTGGGACCTGGGAAGCTATAAGAATGAGCGTTCTGCGGCACACATGGCCTCAGTAGACCCCCCAATGTGATGTATTGTGATGAACGGTTTGTACTGAAACTAAAATTTTTGCAATGTAAATTGTAGCTGACAAAGATTGATTGATTGAAATTGCATTTAATAGATCACATTCTCTTCACTTGTTGACAGGCTTTCCTCTAAAGAAAGGAGCAAAGACACATATATGGACATCAGTAAACCATTTTTTCAGAGCAGTTTGGTTTTGGCTTGTAAGGAAGAGAATGTGACTTTTAAAATGCAGTTTCAAAAGAATGCAGTTGATAAAACTTTAACTGTAAATAAAATTTTGGAAAAAAAAAATCTATTCTGTATATAAATAAAGAAATAAAATATCAAAAAGTTTACTTGTAAAAAATGAAACCAAAGAAAACAGCAAAGTTAGTCTGAAAATATTTTATTTGATTAAAACCATTTTAAAAGTTTCATTTCCAGATTGCACTTTTCATTAAAAATACCTATTTAGAAGGAATCTTCTATCTCTGGACTCTTCTTTTTTAATCTTCAAAAATTATTTTAAAAAGGTCTTATCTTTATAAATGACATAATAAAATGATTTTATGATAAAACCGCCCCTGAAACTGACTGGGAGTTTTGTCCTGATGTGATGTAGGTGAGTTTGGTAAAAAAAAATTAAAACTTTTACCTTCTCTTTATTCTCCAGAATGCTGTGGAGCAGCGCCATCTCTGCCCTCTGCTCCAGTAGCTCTTTGTTCAGGCGATCAACTTCCTGCTGCTGGACATTCATCTGTTCATTAGAAAAATTTAATATTCAGTCACAGCAGGTGTGTTTTTAGGAACAAAGTGAAATCTAGATAAGTCGTTTTTTCTTAAAATAACTGCATTTGTTCTTGAAATGAGAAGGTAAGTGAGACACTTTGCCAATGGAACAATGATATACAATTTAATTTACATTTTAAATAAGAAAACACAATTGCATTGTCTTATTTCAAGTGCATGTTATCTAATTATCTTATTTTAAGAGCAAAAATACTTATTCCATTGGCAAACTATCTCATTTACTTACTCAAATTAAGGGTAAACACACTTAAGAAATGTTTGACTTATGTTTAGATGTTTTTTTCAGTGTTTAAAAGGATCTTATTGGATGGTCGTCTCTGGGACCAAAGTTTCTCACCGCCGATCTTTTCTCCTGCCGCAGACTTTCCACCTCGCTCTCCAGTTGCTGCTTGGCTCTGAGTAAATCATCTTGAACATGCTTTGTACTCGTCAGCATCTTAACTGTTTCTGCATTCTGCAGCAGCAACACAAAAAAGTCTGACTTAGAATCAGAAACAACCAGATTCCTGAGAGAAAAAATAGCAATAATTGTACCTTCTTCATTAAATCGGCGTGACTCGTAACCAGCTCTGCGTGTCTCTCTTTGAGCTGCGTGAACCGAACCTCTGCAGCCTGAGCTCTGCCTGTTCAGACATGAAGAGGAAAACAGTGACTTTCACTGACGTCCAGACTCAGGTTGATGCGCTCTTAGAGGCTTTGTACTCACTGTCCGCCTCCTTGTATCCGATCTGAGCTCCGACGTTGGCCACGTTAGCGCTGCGCAAGGCCTCCACCTCCATCCGCAGGTGTTCGTTTTCAACCATAGCGACCTGCTTGTGGGTGCGCTGCTCCTCCACCTCTGCTTCCAGACGGTTCACCTGAGCCTTTAACTCAACCATACATTTCTGAGCCTGGAGAAAATTGGAAAAGTTTTATTTATACACTGCAATGCCTGGAAACACTAAATCTTTCCCTAAAAATCTAAACCTTTTAGGAAACCATTTTCATTGCCGTTCCAAGTTAGAAAATGTCTCAACCAACTTTGCTGATGGAGGAACTAAACATTTCTTCTCTGCAGAAAAATGCTCAAACTCAGTCAAACTGGACAGAGCGCATCTCTGCATCATTTATTATATTTGAGTGAATGATGAGTTTGGATCATTTGAACACATAAAGATGCTACTTAAGGGTTGAGCTAATATTTAATGGTTGGTATTGGGTTTGGGTGGGATGATGACAAAAGCACCCTTAAAAAAAAGACGCCCCCACCCCCCTTACCTCACTCTTGATGAGCTCTAGCTCTGGTTTCAGAACCTCCAGTTCCCTCTTATAGCCATTGTTGTCGCTTTCTCTGTGCTCCACAGGCAGCTCAGATCCTCCCATCTGATTGAGCAAATAGTACTGCCAGACAAAATGCTGCATTTTAGCACAATTAACAGGAAAAAATCTCTCTTTTAATCATAAAATAATAAAGCACACCTGTGGTATCTGAGTCGTGTCTCTAAACTCTGGCTGCGCTTCCACTTCATCCTCCTCTGGACGATCCTCGCCCGGCATCAGCACCACCGGCCTTTTGTACTCCCCCAAGGCAGCGGCTCGGAGAAAGTTTGGGGGCGACTGGAGAGTGGGAATAAAACATTTCCGGACTGAAAACCTGGATGTTAGAAGAACTAGCCGATCTCAAACCCTATCACTTACATCTGGGAGATCTGGGATCTGGATGATCGTTTTGAAGAACTCAATTTCTCTGGCTCTGTTGAAGAACTGCGTGAGGCTGTTAACAAAGCGAAAAAAAATTGGAAATCTATAGGACGAGCATCCTGGCTTATTAAATAATTGAGTAATTTGCAGAAAACCAACCTGACGAACTGGTCCCGGAACCTCTCTCGATGACCCAGAAGCACATCTGGAGCGATACCTAAGGAGCAGAGACATCTAATTCGGTTCCTGCTGAATCTGATTCCTCAGGCTGTGATTAGGTAAGAACAGAAGCTTCCTACTCACGGCTGTGCAGTTTGAAAAGCAGGCGGACAGAGAAGTGGTAGAGGAAACTGCAGTCCAGTATGAGAGGGATGAGAGGCGTCAGTCTGCACTGTCCGGCTTGGGTCGTGGATTTGGCCCCGTTGGCATCCATCTGACGCAGAACTTAAGACACAGAGAAAACACAAGGAACACTGATCAGATCCTCCCCCTTCTGGCATCCATGTCTTTCACAAATTCATTAAAACAATGATAATAAATAATACGTCATCTTATTCGTGCGCAAACAGCCTAGAGAAAGCAAACATGGGGAGGAAGCAACTCTGGTGGTGTGGGACCAAAATGTCACTTTGTGGCCTAAATGCAAAATGGTAAAAGTGTAATAGAGGATCTCCCCACAGCCACGAAGCAAGCAGTGAAATAAGTCTTGAAGTGAAACGAACATAAATGGCCCCCCTACAG